CCCGTCCCTCTACTTCTTCCTCTCTCTCTTTCTACTTCTGTCACCATCATGAAGTGAAGGACTTACTTGTTCACTTACTGACACAATACAGGAAGCAGGGAAGAGCCTGGTGGCCACCTTTGCCTCCTTTTAGGCCATATGCCTGAGGAACGATTTGGGTCCATTTCATCTGTTCTTTTCAATTCTAGGTACAGGGAGTGGAGCCCCTGAGCCAGGAGCTTAAGCAATGGAGACCTTGGAATGATGGATTCCAGGCCAGATGTTGCATCCAGCACAACAGGGGAGCCCTGGGAAGCCAGGGCTGGGAAGCCAGGATCGCAGATCTCAAGTCCAGGCTTTGGACTTGAAACTTAGTGTGACTAATACTACGTAGGAACTGAGTTAAACTGGGAACCTAATCTCCCTCCTTTCTCCATGTTTGTATGTTTGCTTTCATTACATCTTTGAAGTAAAACATTCAAATGTAACCAGGATACTTGGACCCCTAAAATGGGGAGGGACCTTAATGGGGGCGGGGGTTCAGTCAATAATATAGACAAGAAACTGAAGTCTCTTACACATAACAAGGATAAGAGTTCTGAAGAACCCTGAGGGAGAGATCAAATCGAGCACACCTGACCTTCAGGAAGTGGGCACCAGAAAGAGCCTGTTTATGCTTCTGCTATTAAAGGTAAAGGATGTGTAGAAAAGTATTCAAATTTCCACAAGGCTTTTTGAATTGCATTTCCCATCAGGGACTCAAGCTTACTTAGTGCTTTCCTCTACTGACACTTGTCAAAGCAACATGACAAAGGTCAGATCTAGTGCACAATTGTCCTTCACAAGGCAAGCACAGACATAACCTCGGCCATGAATGCTAGTGATCTTCCCTGCAGTGGACTTTTACCATTCTTTTTTCTTTAGTCAGGCAAAGACAACTGAGTCAAATGTAGACCGAGGATTAGTGTATCTTAAAAGGCAAAGGTAAATACGTAATTGGAGGGAGTTGAAGAGAGTAGCCATGAGTTTTGGGGCACTTCCAGCTCTAAATCCTATGGATTTTTTTATATTCTTTGAACCCCCATTTACTCTTTCTTATCCTCTCCTGAAATCAGAATTCCGAGAGGCTGAGTAAGTCTTTGGAAGAGACTAGCCCCTGGTTTTCTACTTTCCAAAAGTGGTATGATGCCTCCCAAATGACAAGTCTGCTCTCTGGTGGTCAGACAGCCACATAGCACAAAGATAAGCTAGGTACCTAGTCTAGTTTAAGCAGCTGTCCCTCTTAGAGCCAGAACAGAGAGGTAAGGGGGATATGGAGAAAGAAGGTGATGACAAGATGCCTGAGTGGTCAAGAGAGCAGTAGAGTTTGACAGGTGGAGAAGATGAGGTTCAGGCTAATCCACATCCCTTCTGTCTTCCTACTGGCTACTGCAGAGTTAGTATCTATGTAATGGAATTCCTTTATTGGCAAGACTTGTCTAGAAGTCGAGAGCTTCCTATTCTCTCCTTTCCCAAGCTCCCTCCCTCAAGTTCTTTCTGCCATTATTCCTCACAATGCCCTTTCCCAAATTAGCTAAATTTGATTCATGGCTTTTTTTTTTTTTGAGCCCTTCCCCTAGTCATTCCTTGTGCTGAGGCCACTCAGGCACAAGTGAGGGTGAGAATGGGCAATTTAGGATTTGTTGTGGGTCAGATTACAGTCCAACTAACTCAGAGGCTCCAAGTGCCTCTTTTTGTATCCCCAAGAACATTTTTAGTTTCTATTTGTACCATCTCTCAAGATCCTAAGTCTCATTTGTTCTCCAGGTATGAAGTTCTATTTTTTTAAATAAGTTTTTAATTTCTCTAAGTCTCAAAGGGTATTCTTCCCTTCAATTCAGTCAAACAAACATTTGTGCACTAAGTGCCTATTATTTTCTGGGAACGTGAAGACAAAGACGAAAATTGAAGCCCAAGAATATTTAGTATTTGAAATTCCACTCGTGTCTGAATTTCAACTCCCATCAGGGACACTAAAATTTAGTCAGCACTTTCTCATACTAATGTGTTAACAAGGCCATCAAGTAAAATCATTAATTCATTGAATTATTAAATTATTTAATGCATGGATCAAGGATCACAAAGTTATAGTTAGAAGGGACCTTGGAAGCCATCTGGTCCAGTTTTGCCTGTGCTCAAGCTGAGGCCTAGAGAGGTGAAGTGACTTGGCCATAGTCACACAGGCAACTATAGGAGAATATTAAAACAAACAAAAACAAACTTCTTGTTTGTAAAACTGAAAATATTTTGAAATAATATTTCTCTAGTCTAATAAAGGGCCCTTTCCTTGCTTCCTTATTGGAAGACAGGATAGGTCAGGACAATTCCCCTTAATGCTAATTAATGCCTTCTTTCTATTGATTATCTCCAGTTTATCCTGTTTTTTTGTATATTGTATATTATTCCATTCCTACCCCCATCTCCATTAGACTGAGTGAGCTCTTTGACAGCAGGGACTGTCTTTTGCTTTTGTTAATTTCCCCTAGGGCTCAATTCAGTACCCAGGCTTAGTAGGTGCTTAATAGATGTTTGCTGAATTACTTTAATTAGGAGAATGACTTAAGGATGTTAATCAATCAATCAATAAACATTTTTTAAGGACCTCCTACATGCCAGGCACTGTGCTAAATGCTTAGTCAATCAGAAAAAACATATCAGCTCAAAATAAAAGACATTTAATCAAACAGAAAGGCAAATTAAGTAGAAAGAAAAGGATGCTCTCTCTGCCCCCAACCACCCACCCACAGGGAAACATCTCCCATAGCTTTCACACTGCCAGTGGATGGGGAGAGTGCACACACTTAGGAAAAAAATACAAAATTATGGAACATGCAAGAAAGGGGACATAGATGCAGGGACAAGTGGCCAGAGTACAAATGGGATCATTCTTCCCATGCTTCAAAATCACTGATTTCCTCTGATATTGTCATCATGCTTCTCTTTGTGCTCTGAATTTTGACTATGATGTAGCCAAGAATTTTCATTTGGGGGTTTCTTCCAGGAGGTGACTAGTGGGTGCTTTCTTTTTCCATTTTGTTTTCTGCTTCTAAGAGACCTGGGCAATTTCTTCCATGATTTCAAATCATCTTCAAACCAGCTGGACTGATTTCTATCTCTGGTTTGTGTTGGCCAAGCTACTCCCAGTCACCATCTTCTACTTTGCAGTGGTTAATAAGTCACTCCTTGGCAAACAGGAGATAAGGTCTTTTTGGTCTGCATAGCCTAAGGCCATGAGAGCTTTATCCTGGCTGGCAGTCAGCAAAAGCCAACAGATGCCAATAAAACTGAATCTATTCTTTTGACTAGTCTTCCGCTGCCACTTCCTTATTACTGTGAAGGGTACCACCATCTTCTCAGTCATTCAGGAGCACAACTTGGGTGTCATCCTCCACCCCTTATTCTCTCTCATCTCTCTATACGCCCTCTTCTCGATATTGCCATTATCTTTGTGCAGTCCCTTATCACATCATGCCTGGACTATTGCAATAACCTGCTAGTTGGTTTCCCTGCCTCAAGCCTCTCCCCACTCTAGTTCATCCTTCAGTTAATTGTCAAACTGATCTTCCTAAAATGAAGGGCTGATCGTATCACTGCTTCTCTCTGCTCCGCATTCATTCAACTCCAGTGGTTCCCTATTGCATACAGGCTCAAACATAAAAGCCTCTTTTTGATTTTTAAAACCTTATAAACTTGCCCCCTTCCTACCTTTCCAGCTTTCTTAAACCTTATATCCTCTTCCCCTCATGTACTCTTCTATCCAGTAACATTGGTCTCTTTGTTGTTTCTTGAATATAACACTCCATCTCCTAATTCCAGGTCTTTGGAAATCTTTCTCTCCTCACCTCTAGCTTTTCTTCCTAACTTTCCTAGATTCCTTCAAGTCTCAGCTAAAATCCCAGTCCTCTTTTATCTCAGTACTTTCCCTCTGTTGATTATCCTCAATTTGTATAATATATACCTTGTTCGTACATAATTAATTGCATGTTGTTTTCTCCATTAGACAGTGAGTTCCTTGAGAATAGGGACTGTTTTTTGCCTTTCTCTGTATTCTCTCAGTGCACAGTGCCTGGGACGTACCCTTAATAAATGTATGTTGACTGGCCCCAGTTATTCCTTGTCTTGGGCCTAGAATATTCATTTTAAGTCTAGTCAAATCTCTCCTCAGTTGGTATCTTCTCAAATCATTTTGAGTTCTCCATCCTATGAAAACACAGAATTGTGTAGGAGTGGGGTGATGAAGTTCCACTTAGATACTGATTGACTGATCAGTCAAGAACAAAAGGGGTAGGTGAAGTCAGCAGGGCTCTTGACCTCCACCTGGATCTTTTATTCCATGTTCCTGACTTTAACTTGCCACCCTTAAGATCTTGCAGTAGTCTATTCCCATGAGTTTGAGTTTAATTTTACTAAAAAACTTAAATGTTTCATTGGTTACCTCCTCCTCTGGGTAATTTTGAAGAATGTTAAATAAAATCTTAGTACTAATTCCTGAGAAATTCTCCTCTTCACACTCCTATATCTATTGATGTGTTGGATATGTTTAATGATATATTTAGAATGTATCATATATTTTTATTCTTACATTTTGCTTTAACTTCACCTTCATTTCTGAATATACCCTTCCCCCCAGCCTACTCGGCAAGCCATCCCTAGTAACAAATAGAAAGTATTACTAGAGGGATAAATTGTGAGTATGTAGAAATCATCCTTAAAAGGTCACAAGGGTCTATCAAGAAAAGGTCATGTCAAACTAACTTAATTCCCTTTTTTGACAAGTAGATCAAGAGAATTCTGTAGATACAGTATGCTTAGATACAGTATGCAACAAAACATTTGGTAATATCTCTCATTATATCCTTGTGAACAAGATTGAAAGATATGGATTGTAAGACAGTGTAGTTAGTAAGATTGAGAACCAGTTGAATATTCTAAAAGTAGTGATTTGTAGACTGATGTCAATACATGATATGGAGAAATGCTCTATAAGAGGTGTTTTTGGATTGGTTGAAGAAATTTGGTTATGGTCTGTGGGTTTTGATTTAGATAGTGTTGTCATTTTTGTTATACTGACATAGTTCAACCATGAGCAATTAATATCTTTCCCCTTACTTAGATCTGTTTTTATTTGTTTTTTAAAATTAAATTTTATTTTTTTCAAACAACAAAATTCCATACTCTCTCCCTCCTACCTTCCTCCCACCACCCCAAGAAAGAAAGAAAAACAAAGCCCTACTACAAACAAATATAGTCAAAACAAAATAAACGTCCAGATTGGCCATGTCCAAAAAAAAAGTCTCAATCTACACTCTGAGTCCATCATCTCTCTATGAGGAGAAGCATGTTTCATCATGAATATTATGGAATTATTTTTGGTCATTGTGTTGATAAAATTTCTCAATTTTTTCAAAGTTGTTTGTTTTTATGATATTACTATTGTATAAATTGTTCCCCTAGTTGGGCTCACTTCACTCTGCATCAATTTATGCAAGTCTTATCCGGTTTCTCTGAAATCATCACCTTCATAATTTCTTATCTCACAATGTTATTCCATCACAGTGATATACCATAACTTGTTTAGCTATTCTCTAATCAGTGGATACCTCCTCAATTTCCAAATCTTTGTGATCAC